GTCGCAGCGTTCACCCACTCTGGCACCTCTCAATTCAGGTGCACCCATCACACGCGTGACAGGCTACTGCCGAGAGGGATCAATAATGAATGTGCATGAGGTGAGGCTCAGGGAAAAACACTTGAACAGAACAGGTCCCCATTTCCCTGCATGGTGGCACACGCTTGTAATCCCAGCATTCAGGAAGGCAGAGGCAGGAGGTATGAGGCCAGTGAGTTCCAGAACAAGTCAGGTCTACAATAGAAAGATTCGCTAAAGACCCCCTCCCTCAAAAGAAAGCATAGCATCTACGTAGGTGTCGATCACTACCGAAATTGCAGTACTTTGAAGACCGAGGCAGGAGGGTCACCATGAGTTCCAGGTCAGCAACAAACAAAACCAAAAACAGCCCTCCACTTCTGCCTGGATCTTGTTATCAATTATATTTTGATGTCTGAGACGAGGTGCAGGTACAGGAACTCTGAGGATTCTAGCTTTTATCGTACAGGCAAAACTGAGAACTACTGTATTAGAACTCATGAGGCTGCAGGTAGGCAGAGGCAAATCTGAGTATAATGTGATGTATTGGACCAGAAACCAGGGCAGTAGTAAGTGTATTTGAGGAAACATGACTTCATCATGGCTCAGAGATAGGATGTAAGAAAAAGAGAATTGGAAGGTGAGTCACACTTGGCTTAGGAGACCCCGCTGCACAGCACAGATGCCCCTCTTGCTCTCGTCAGTCATTTCCTGCCTGCCCATCCAATCCCTGCTTTCATGGGTATTCTTCTCCTGTTGGCTTGTTACTTCTAAGATACTGTGTCCTTTCCTTTGGTGACTTCTTACAAACTGTGAAACACAGCCTTAACAGCCTCCAAAGTCTAGACAAGCCCACTTCAGTGGAAGACTGAACACACTGGCCTGGATGGTTTTAATAACCAGGGCCATGTTTCCCTTGCTGAAGTCTGCATTTTTTCCATTTCTTATTATTTTATGTGTATAGGTGTTTTGCCTGCATGTGTGTCTACACAGGGTGCACGCAGTACCGGTGGAGGTCGGATTAGAAGGCATTGGGTCCCCTGAAATGGGATTTAGGGTTGTAAACTGCCATGTGTGTGCTGGGAATCAAACCCACGTCCTCTAGAATAGCAGCCAATGTTCTTAACCACTGGGCCATCTCTTGAGACCCGGGAATTAGAAGAATTTAACTTTGGGAGGTGTTAGAAAAATGTGAGCCCCAGCTCACCCGCTTTAGCTTACAACTGCACATGCAGAGCACGTTGCTCATTTTTTATTCTTTTCTTTTCTTTTACTTGAGACAGGGTCTCATTATGTTGCTCTGGCTATCCTGGAACTCTCTCTGTAGACCAGGTTAGTCTCCAATTCACAGAGATATGTCTGTCCTTGCCTCCCAAGTGCTGGGATTGAAGGCATTCACCATTATGCCTAACTATGTAGTTAATTCCACTAATAACAAACCTGACTTCAGCCTGGCAGAATGGTATATACCTTTAATCCCAGCGCTCGGGAGGCAGAGACAAGGTCAGCCTAGTCTACAGAGTGAGTTCTACGGCCAGGCTACATAGTGAGAGCCTGTCTTTAAAGGAAAAAAACAGAAACCTGCTCAGGAACTATCTCTATTCTTACTGTCAATATCATCTTTACAGTACCTTCCTGTGCGTGTGCACGTGTGTGTGTGTGTGTGTGTGTGGTGTGTATGTGTGGTGCTAGGAAGCCCATCCACACTAGTCAAGTGGTCTGCTACTCAGCTGTGTCCCAGCCAGCCCTGGGCTTCTATTTTGTTTTCCTGTCTGGGTTTATCATATTGATCTTCATGGTTCAAGGCACTCTCTACCCGGTCCAGCTTTAGTAAGAGAAAGTCCATACTGTGAACCACTTGGAAACCTTACTGTGGTTGTAAGCCTGGTGAACCAAACCATCGAGTTCTCTACTGTTGACTTGTGTTCCCTTCAAGTTCTGTGGTCCAGTCCTGTCGTGGGAAACTAACACATACGGGAAATGCTGTGGGCCCCAAAGAAGCTTCAGTCCGGGGACCCCTCTCTTGATCCCTCCTGTATGCTCGGTGTATGTGCTCTAGATGCCTGCGCCCTGCTGTGACAGCTCCCGGCATCCTCTCACACTAATGCAGATTTTCGCTTGGTATGACCCTGAAAATTTTTGGCAAGCCAGACCTGTTGCTCAGGCCTGTAATCCTAGCACTTGGGAGATGGAGGCGGGAAGATCAAGAGTTCAAGGTCATCCATGGATACACAGAAATTCTGAGACCTCATGGTCTCATGAGCTACATAAGCACACGTCACGCAAACAGCTGTGATTTCAGTGAGAACGGCCCCCATAGGCTCATATAGTTGAACACTAAGTCCCCAGCTGGGAGAGCTGTTCAGGAAGTGTGGCCTTACTGGAGGTGGCATTTCACTGGAGGCAGGTTCCACCTCAAAAGCCCGCACCATTCCCAGTTAGCCCTCTGCCTGGGGCCTGTGGGTAGAGATGTGAGCTCTCAGCTGGTGCCCCAGTGCCATGCCTGCCTGCCTGCCTTGCCTGCTGCCATGTTCCCTGTCAGGCTAGTCATGTACTCACCCTCTGAAACTATAAGCCCCAAACAAACTCGTCTATAAATTGCCTTGGTTATGGTGTCTAATCACAGCAACAGAAAAGTAACAAAGACACAAGCCACACAAAAGCTGTTAGCACAGGAATCTGCAGCTCAGAGCTGGTGGGATGGCTCAGCAGGTAGAAGCGTTTGCTCTGCAAGCCAGAGTGAGGGCTTGAGTTTATTCCCAGAGCCCATGCCTGAAGGAGAGAACCCCTAAAGTTTGTCCTTTGATATCCAGACTATGCACACACGTATAATAATAACAAATTTTTAAAAAATAAAAGGAACCTGAATCTTAGCAGAGATGAGGGTAGGAAATAAAAATCCTAGTCTTAAAAGTATGCCAGTGTAGCCAGGGCGGTGGTGGCACATGCCTTTAATCCCACCAGAGTCAGGTGGATCTCTGTGAGTTTGAGGCCAGTCTGGTCTACAGAGTGAGTTCCAGCACACCAGAGATAGAAAGAAAGATAGATAGATAGATAGATAGATAGATAGATAGATAGATGGTATAGGTAGAAAGATAGATAGACCCAGTCTCAATGCCTCCCCACTCCAAAAAAAAAAAAATCAAGAGTTCAAAATCACCCTTTTCTATATAGGGTCTTTGAGTCCAGTCTGGGATATAGGAGACCCTATCTCAAGAAGATAAAATCACACACACAAATAAAAGCCAAAAAGAACGACTTAAAAATTAGTAACTTAACTACTGTACTGTACATAAAAGTTAAGCAACTTAACCTCCATCTTTAAGGCCTGTACCCACCATCTGGGGTCTCTTAGCTCATGGACACCACGCTGATTTTGTCCTTACTCCTATTCATCTGACTTTTCTCTTATCTCGAGGACTTGGGGCTGCTTCTTTCGGTCTGTCTTGTTAGCCATTCCTTTTGCCTGAATACATGTCTCCCTTTCGGCCATGGTCAAAACAAGACACCCAGTATGCAGATACTGCGGCTACCACCGACCTGGACCACCCTGTGTTTTTGTTTTTTTATTTTATTTTATCTATCTATCTATCTATTTATTTATTTATTTATTTATTTATTTATTTTACGTACCTGGAGGGGCAGCTGTGGGTACTGGGAACCGAACTCTTATATTTTTGGTTGTGAGCCTAGCCTTTAACAACTGAGCCATCCCTCCAGGCCCACCCTGTGTTTTTGTTCGGAGAGAGTCTTATTACATAGCCTGAGCTGGCCTTTGTGATCCTTCAGCGTCTTGTTTTCCAAGTACTGCACGTACTACCACATCTGGCTTTGTTTTTTAAAGCACAGTTTATATAATATATTGAAGGTGCACACTTTGTTTTCTGAAGGTGTGTGGACACTGTCTAAACGATAGACATTTTATGTGATCTAGTTCAGTTCTTGCCTTTTTGGTCCTATTTCACTAGGACCTCCTTGCTGGATGGGGTCTTCCCATCAGAGTGGGAACATACTCCATGGCCCAGCTGCCCCACTATTCTTTCCCTTTAAGTGCATAGCAACCAATGTATCTCTGTGTTTAGTTGTTTCCAACCCAGTTCCTACTACTAGTTAAGAACTACGTCAGGAAGGGGCAGCATCCGTCTTGCCCAGGTTGGCCCTCTTTGGTGTCTGCTACTCCATCAACACTGGCTCACTAAATGCTGGCCCCTAAACAGCTTCCGTTTCTCTCCATTCTATGAGTGTCAGTCAGATCTGCTTTGCAACCTTGTGTCTCTTTTCCTGCCTCAGTTCAAAACTCAGCCACAGAGAAGACCCATGATGCTGCCACACCCTTCCCCTTCTACCTCAGTCTCCTTACACTGAATTCCTCCACATACTAGGACTTAAGGTCCATCTCCAACACTGCGAGTCATTTTCTGATGTCCAATACATAACACTCTGCTTCTGCTCTGACGTTTATAACACGTGGCCCTTCCGTCTTGTCTGGCTCTCGCACCTAGAGTGTGTGGGTATGTAACACATTTCTTCCTCCAGGTGGATACTGATGAAAAGGGCAACCCTGGAATGACAGGGCTAAATCCACCATTCTCTACTAACCAGATTCTAATGAAGCCGGGTATACACACCAGTAATCTCAACTATCAGGAGGCGACGGCAGGAGGCAGTTGGGCATATAACTCAACGGTAGAGAAATTGTCTAACATTTCCAAGGCTTTGGGGTCAATCCCCAGCACTGGGGGAAAACTTTCAATGAACTACATGAATGGACTTACTAAAATCTGCATTCCTGTGTGCTTCTTTGATAGGAAGCTGCATTATTTCAAGCATTCTACATGAGTTTTGCCCACCATTAATTACCGCACCTTGTAAAGCACAGTATTCCAGAGCCAAGGCTTATTAGTAAGTCTGAGAAATGCAAGGGATTCAAAGGTTGACGCTCTACCCTTCCTTGCTCGGGTTAGATGAATGAAGATGCCAAAGTTCTTTATTTCTTTATTGCCATTTTCTTTTAATTTCTTTTCTGCTTTACCCTCCTCCACCCTCAGTTATACAGAAAGTCCAGGACAGGACAACTAAACAGGAGACCTCAAAAAGCCAAGGCAAGCCAGCCCAAGATCAGCAGGCTCCCTCCAACAGGACCCGCAGTTTGGATGCTAGTGTCTCCACTCAGAGCCTGGTAGTAAAAGCTGGTACAGAATAAGGTAGTTCCAGAAGCTAGCAGCAATCCTGCCTGAAAGAATTGGAAAACAGAATACAGTGTTTATCAAACAAAGCCATATGAGAGAATGAATGGGGTTTGGTCAGAATTAGGCAAAGGGCTGATTACCCAGAGGGGTTTTCTGCAATAGGGCACCCCTAACAGGGCCAGGCTGTGCAAAAAGTGGTGCTTGTTGGCCTTGTCAAAGAGCTGCAAGGAAAAAAAAAAGAGATTTTTTTTTTCCTAAGCAATACAGAAGCCCAGGAACCTGAAGTGCCACAAAGAACCAAAGTCCACTCTCAGCACTTCAAGTCCCAGTTTACTGCCCTCCCCCAGGTCCCCAAGCCACAGGCTTGCAGCCCCTCCCATTCATCTCCTCACCCTCTACTTTCCACATCTCTATCCTCCCCCAAGTTTAAGGACACCCAGATATTGCGCCTGTAGTTCGGGATCCCCAGTGCTGTTACTTCACCTCCTTCCCGTAGGCATCCGGAAATTGGGCGCCTGTGGAGAGAAGCAAATGTTATCAGATGGGTAATAGTCTCGACCGTCCCAATCTCCGGGGAACTCAAGCAGACACTGGCGAAAAAGGGCATTCCCGAAAGCTTCCGAAACAGGTGTCGAGTAGTACTGAGAAGCTTTTGGACTCACTGAAAAACTGGACTCCAAGGGATCTCTACTCCATAAGAGACAGAGCGCTTCCTACAGGTTCCTTCCCGCACCAGCCCCCATTGATCGCCCCCAGCCCAGTTGCATCCCACGTCCCCTGACCGTGTGCCCCGTAGGTGGCCAAACCCAAGGCCCCAGCTCCGGACAAGGCACCTAGGCGGCGGAAAGCAGCCCCTGCCACGGCCATAGCTGTGGGTGGTCACGCGCGGAACCAACACCGCCCTGGCCACCCAAGAAGTCAGCCAATCCAGATTGCCCATGCAAATAAGGTCCAAAGGTGCCCAATCAGCGCTGTGTTCATTTAGTGCCCCGGTTCCTCCTGTATACGCCTTTGTAAAACTTGTGCTGAGTGGGGAAGACGTCTGGCGGGCGGAGAAACTAGAACCAATTAGGAGCAGAGGAGCGGAGCAGTGGGAGGTGAGGTTGTGGGCGGGACTAAGGGATTTGCGTCACAGATTGGCCCACTTTCCAAGTTGATCGCCCCTTCAACACCCCAACCCCACACCTCCAGCTAATTTGCAAAGATATCGGTCCCCATACAAAGTTCCGCCCCTTTTCCCTCAGGCTCCTCCCGTTCAGCTTCAAACCAGACCCACTCCTCAAAAGGGGCGGCTCCACGGATTTCTAAGCCCCACCTATTGCCATTAAACACCTCCCACTTCACGGATGGCCCCTCCTCTGTGCCTGGAGACCCCGCCTTCTTATGTGATGCCCTTCCCTCTATATTTCAGATTTTTCTCCCCCCCCTTGCTAGACCCGGAAAGCCCCGAGGGTGGGAGATCCGGGGAGAATGTCTTCACCCTGTCCCAGCCCGCTACGTCCATCCGTCCGTCTGTCCACTCCCACCCGCTTCACTGTCTTCAATCCCCCCACACTCTAG